GGAATCCATGACTGTGCCATGTGGATCCACAATGAATCCTTTTGGGTGATTCCATGGCTCCCTTGATAATGGCTGCTGCTTAGAAAGCTACTCAAGGGAAGCTCAGGGCCAATGTCAGAGCCACCAATGACCTCCATAAGATACAGAGGTGGAGTGAAAATGTAGCACCACCCAACTGCCTCACAGCAGTCTGTGTGGGGCTGGGATGACAGTGGAGGAGTGGGGGAGGGGAGGGGACCTTCTGAGAAAGAAAGCGTTCTAACTGGTTTGGCGTGTCCCAGGAAGTGGGCTTCTCTTCACAAGAACATGCTGAAGGGATGCTCGCTGAGATGGCAACTCACAGCCATCCTGCATCCATCCTGCATCCATCAGAAGCACCTTCTCAGGATGGAGCTAACACTGTGGGCCAGGGATGGGAGGACCAAAAGATCCCCAAGTCCCTGAGACATCATTTAAAGTTCCAATCAACAGAACCCCTGCTCCCGCCCCATCCGTTTTCTATGACAGACACTTGGGCTATACCTTAAGCCAGTTTAATTTGTTAGTAAAAGCATTTTGAGTTGTAGTTGTTTTGGTTTTTCAAGACAAGGTTTTTCTGTGTAGCTCTGGCTGTCTTGGAACTCCCTCTGTAGACCAGGCTGGCCTCAAACTCGTAGAGACCTGCCTGCCTCTGCCTCCCGAGTGCTGGGATTAAAGGTGTGCGCCACCACCACCTGGCTGCATTTTGATTTGAAAAAGTAAATTGATTTTCCTCCAAAAAATTTAAATTTACTTATATATTTATTTGTCTCTGTGTGTATGCCTATGGGAATGTGCCATGACATGCACGTGGATGGAGGTCAGAGGACAATTTTCAGAGGTTGGTTCTCTCTTTTTACCATATGCGCCGAGGGACTTGAGTTCAGGTCTTCAGTCTTGGTGGCAAGGACATTTACCCACTGGAGCCATCGTGCCAGTCTAAAATTTTGATTTTTAATGTTACTAAACCCTTCCCTTGTGCTTAGCTCCTGCAAACTTCAAGATTTGGTTCTCTGTTTCCAAGTATCTCCTCTCTTCTCGCCAGAGCCCTCAACCCCTGCTGGCCGCCTCTGCTGTCCATTCCTGGATGCCCAGCCACAGTTCAATCTTAAAGGTTAAAGGTTCCGGAAGAGTGCCCAACCACTCACGACAGGCGAGAATGGCTCAATGGCTTGAGAGTCTGGAGTTGAGAACAGGAACTCAGAACAAAGACCCTCAGCTAGCTTCTGGAATCACATTTGGGCTCCAAATCCCATTTCTGTTGCCAAAAGACCGGGGAACAAAGCTCTTGATGCCTGCATGTCTGCGATCTCAATGATGCTTGTAACGGCAGCTTTCAGAATGCTCGTGGGGATTAGGGGAAATAACACTTGGAGTTGTATGGACCTCAGCATCACAGAGAGTTGGTTCCAGGACCCCAGGGTTACCCAGCTCCACAGATACTCATCTCTCCCCCCAAACGGCCAAATCTGCATAATACCTGCATGCTTCAATAGGGAGTTCTTAATGGACGCCAGCTGCCATCGGCTGTTCTAAGAGGTAAGCTGACCGTATGGTCAACACAGGTGTCTTCCTATCCCGAGGTCATGGTCCCCTCCTTCCCTCCCTCCCCCAGGCCAGCTGGGTGAGGCACATTGGCCAGGGAAAGAACTGGCAATTCTTCCTTCCTGCCGGGTCCTTCCTCCGCTGGCTCTTTTGTACTTTTTACAGCGAACCCAAACAGTTCAGCAGTGGCAGTGGGTGGGGTGGAGGGCGGGGAAGCGCCAGGCTGTTATTTTTGAGACTCTGCCCCTTCCTTCTGTGTGAGGAATCATTCCGGATTGGAGTGTTCTGAAGGCGTCAGAAGGTGGCTGACCACAGAGCCTTAACGCTCTTCTTTTCATCTTGCTTGGCCCCTGTCACATCTTTATTGGGTTTATAGACTCTTTTTTTCCCCTGTCTTTAAAAAGAAAAAAAAAATCACTGTTTATTTGTAGAGTTGCTAGTTTAAAACTTGAGCAATATCTTAAAGGCCACTTTTTTTTTTGTCTTAGTCTGATCTGAAAGGCAGGGACCAGGCCTCTTACATAACACAGCTCGGGGCTTTGGAAACGGATTCCCAGCAAGCGTTTAACAGGGCAGTCATTATGTAACAGGCCGAGCCGCTCCTGTCACTCATTTGAACTGTCTTTCAAAGCAGAGCGATAAGGCCACGGGAGATCATGCTGTTAAAGCAACTTCCTACTTCAATTCATTTTGCTTGGGCCCACTGAGGACCCCGAGGCCGCCTAGCTGAATCTTCTGTTGCCCATTGTGGTGAAATGACCAGGCAGATTCAGTGCTCAACTGGGTGACCTACTGCAGACAACTGACTTTGTTTATTTTTCTCTTTCCCTTGCATTGGCCAATGGAATTGCATTAATTGGTCTGTTGTCTCAGCATCGGGGAACGGACACTTACAGTCAAGTTGTTAGCCAGTTTGGTGGGGAGAGCCTCTGTCAGGCATGTTGTGCCACGCTGGCTGGTCCAGGGCCCTGTGGAGACTTGCTGCTATAGTCATGAGCACCCTGGGCTGCTTCGCTTATACCCGGCAGTATAGCCCAGCACTTACTCTTCATGCAAGAGGCATGTTGGCATTTCTGTGTGGCTGGCTGATGGCATGGTGCTAGAGGGAGGGATGGCGCAAGGTTCAGGGATCAACTGTCCTGTTTGCCTGGGTTGAGGGAGTTCCTGTGATGTAGGATTTCCGGCATCAGGCACAGCTTGAACACATGGGGTGGCAGGCAATAGCCCAGAGCAGGCTGGGTACTCTGAGCATGTCTATGTTGCAGAGCGTGATAAAAGGGAGAGTGTGCGGGACCCAGATCATGAGAGGCCTCAGCTACTGTTGGTCTGGTGTCTTTGTCTGTTTTTGTTGCTAAAACAGAAAACCCAGGGACTGAGAAGTTTGCGAAGAAAAAAAGTTTGATCTTGGTAGATGGCTTTGGATGATGGAAGGTCCAGGGTCAGATGGGCACATCCCCGTATAGTGAGGACTTCATGATGTTTCGGCTTACAGCAGAGAGGGGCAGGGTGTGTGTGTGGGGGGGCAGGTGGAATGCAAGGAGGTCCTATTGTACAGCAGCCGGTCCTTCCTAAGGATCTAATCGTCTCTCAGAGGGCCCATTTCTCCCATTCACAATGAGAGCTCATTGTGAATCTTAGCAGGGATGAGCCATATCCAAACTGGATATGGGCCCTCTCGGCTCTGGAAGGCCACCCATCACAGTGTGGCAAATGTGGCCGTGATGAGAGTAGAGCAGGCTGGGAGCTGAAAGCAGAAGCTCAAAGGCCAGACCTGACCTGTGTGATCTCCCACTGTCTCCCACCCTTCGTTTGTTACAGCCTTTCCTGTCACAGGTGGCCAATGGGACAGGCGCATGGTCTGAGGCCAGGATTCACTCCCTTCCCAAAGTGTCTCCGGCTGACTGCTTGGTGAATGTGCAGGTTTCTCCACCTGTCTCTGTAGCCAAGGGTCTGGGAAATCATGGGCCCATCTTTGCTCTTATTTCTTCTGCTCCCAGGCAGTAGCAAGAAGAGGTGCTGGGTTAGCCTGGAGGGTGCAGAACAAGACTGTTTTAAGAAACAACGACAAAATATTGCCAGTTCTTGAAGTCCGTGGGTTTCCCCATCTACAGGTTTGATCAATGTGTGTTAAAGGTAGAGACGAGCCTGTAAGGGCTACATCTGAACTAACTGTGGACAGAGTTCTCCTCCAGTATGCTCTACACCATACACAAGGTCTAGTACTTTACATGGCTGTCTTTCCAGTGGGCACAGAACAACACAGGATTTACGCTGCCTTACACTGTGTGTGATAGGAGACAGATGTGAGGTGCTTGACGGTACCATGAACATGTGCACAGACCTCCAGCAAATGCTGTATCATCTCCCATCAGGGACAGGGGCAGCCTTGAATTTTAGCATCTAACCCTCTGTGGATCCTGAAGGAAGGTGTAGATGTAGCTTATTGCACCAGAAGAGCTGTGGAGAGCTCAGTGTTAACCAATCGGCAAAAGCAAGTGTTAAGACTTATGCACAAAGTCTATTGCTAGAAGGCGGTGGTGACACACGCCTTTAATTCCAGCAGAGGCCGTCAGATCTCTGTGAGCTCGAGGCCAGCCTGAGCTACTGAGAAAGTACCAGGACAGCCAGGGCTAAAAGAGAAAAACTCTGTCTCAAAAACAAGACTTATGCACACTCCTGTATATGCTATACGTGAAACAGACATAAGAGGTTACACACTCGTATGAATCTGTTGAGAAAAAGGGCCAGCCTAAGTGCCTCTCAGCTGATGAGTGGACGAGGGGTGCATGGTCCATGCACACAGTGGAATACTAGTCAACCATAAAGATGGTAAAATCCTGGCATGTGGCAGCACATGGCCCAGGAAGACACAAGGCTAAGTAAAGCCAGCCAGGCACAGTGAGACAGAGAGCCCCTGACCTCACTCAGAGGTGGAGTAGGAAAAGGCTGACTAGTCCTGCTGCTGAAGGTGGAACCGGATGCTGAGGCCTGGGGGAGGGGCCGGGAGGTTGAGCAGTGAGCACTGACTTATGGGTAGGCAGGAGCAAGCCGCTCTGGTGGGCTGTGACTAAGAGCATAGCGGGCTGGCTCAGCGGTATGGTGGTGCTCGTGCTGCAAGCCTGAGGACCTGAGTTCAGGCCCCAGATGCCATAGTGGAAGGAGAGAAGAAACTCCCGAATATGATTCTTTCACCTCTGTGTGTGTGTGTGTGTGTGTGTGTGTACACTTCTACACACACACACACACACACACACACACAAATTTAAAAATGACAAATGTCTAGGGCTGTGGCAATCACCTAACATGGTGGACTTTCATGTGCAAGGCTGCGGGTTTGCTCCCCAGCACCGCTGAAAGAAAAATTTGAGGAGACAGATGGATTTAACCCAATTTAAAGATCACACAGTGTACACACACACTGAAGTATGACACAGCACTCCAATGATACCCACACTTTTTATGCCTTAACGTACTCCTTAAGACAAGGAGAAAAGGAGAAAAAGACAAGAAAAGGAACTGTGACCAAAGACTTGTAGAAGTCTCTTTGCAGGTTGCCCCAAGCAGAGGAGGGGAAGATATTCTTTTGCATGTGAGAAGTCCCTCTGGCTACTGGGTAGAGCTTGATGGGAGGACCCAAGACTGAAGAGGAGAAGGATCTTCTGCATCCGGTTCTAGGTGCTGGTGGGAGATAATGAGACCCACTCCAGGAATGACACCCCTGAGGAGGAAATGGGGTGGGTTGTGCCACAGATCAGTATGGTCATCCGTCAGTATGTGGGGGGGGGGCTGGCTTCCGGCCAGCTAGGGATGCAAAGTGCACAGGTGCTCAGGCCGCAGGGCCCACAGTCTCTAACCCTTACATCACTGAGGAGTCCTGACAGTGTGCCATCACCTGTTACTGTAGCACTAAGGCAATGGCAAAATTCACATCTGTTCAGCGTGCCCGCTGCTTCTCTCTGAATATTTTCATTTTGTGATTGGTTGGTCTGCGCATGGAGGACCTGGGGAACGTACAGAGGGCTGATGGAAACAGTTAAGGTTGCTGAGAACATGAAGGCTGATGGGGGGGGGGGGGGGGGGACAGCAAGGCAGGGCCCCAAACAGTTCAGAGTGTCTTGAAGGTCTACACTTGATTTTTATTATTATTATTATTAAATAACTGTCTCATTTCTGCACCATGTGTTTCCTTCCATGAGAAGTGGTGGGGGCGCTCGGCCCCCAGAGGGGGGCTGAGCAGCTGTGTGGGGCTGGCGGCTGGGGACAGCGCACAGTCTGCCCCAGCCTCTGTAAACGCTGGCGGAACCAGCTGTGTTTTTCCTACCCCCTTACGTCATCACCATCATAAAAAGCCAAGGGGAGGAGGGGGATTGAGTTGACGATCTCAGCTGTGATGAAGGAGACAAAGGGATTCAGGGACTCAGTGCCCGGTGTGCAGTCACAACCATGGCTGCTGGGAGGCGGGCTGGGCCAGGTGGGTTCCATCTGATGACCAGCCCCTTTCCCTCACTCTCCGGGTCAATCACCTTCTGGCTTTAAGCAGACCATTTAGTTAAAGTCTGGCCTTTGAACCCCCTTGGCATGCTTTCGGCAAGGTGCTGCAGCTGGCGGGGAAACTCCTGCCCCTTACCCTCCTTACTATCCTCTTGCAAACCTCTGCCCTCCTCGGCTTTGGAGTGCGGGGTCTGGTGCTGGGTCCCCTGAGCTTTGCTCTCTGCTCTTGGCTTCTGGGGTGGGGGTGGGAAACCCAGAATGCCTCATCTGAGCTTAACTTGGCTTACCCTCGAGAGAGCTTTCTGACTGAAGCCAGCCCTGCTCCGCTCAGACATGGGCTGCTGTCAGCGTGATTTCTCTCTGAGTTGGGCAAAACCCATTTCCCTAGCATCTGGAGACGTGCTCCCCTGCGAAAACTGGAGAGCCGTGGGCCAGGAGCTTATTTAGAAACACACATGTAAAACGCATACCTGTTCGTGGAAGTATCCAGTGTCAGTAACGTCTTTAGGGTGTCCACCACGCGTCAGGCCTTGTGCTAAGTGTTTTTCACTCAACTGAGTCGTCCCCATGGTCCCTTTAACAGAGGGCTTCCACGGCGAATACAGGGATCAAAGGGCGTGTTGTCAGACCCGGGTGGCCGGGTCATTATGTGAATACAGGCTGGCCGGTTCACACCTGTTTATTGAATGAAAAATAAGAAATAAAAGAGGCAAAGAAAGGAAACATGATTGCCCCTAGGTATGGCGGAGGAGAAAGCTTAGTTGTAGCTATGTGGGAGAGCATAGCCAGAGGCAGGGACAACCGGGAGAGTCCAGAGTGGACACGACCCTTTGCTGAGCCGTGTGGGCGAGGGGAAAAGCAAAGGAGAGGAGGAAGAAGGCAAACAGATGCAGCAGCCCGGCGGCCCAAAGTACAAAAAGATCGGGTGACCGAAATGGTTGGATTATATAGCGGCCCAGCTCCCTGGGCTGCAGCGTTCAGGGTAGAGGGTGGGGTACGCCAGCCAGGAGGACCCTCTAAGAGGTAGGGTCTGAGGGATGCCGAGAGAACCTGGCAGCCATGTCTACTTTGATATGCTAAATAGGCACTTAGCTGCTTGGGTGGGGCGGGGTTGAAACCTGACAGTTATGAGTCACATCATTGCCACCGATGAACCGTCTCTAGAACCTATGACTTGACCAGTGTGCGCAGAGGGCCAGAGTATAGAGGAACTGAGTGAATAAGAAAATGATTTGGGTCAAGCGGGGTGCTTTGTCTTTCAACGCATGTTTTTCTGTGTTGTATTATAATGGGTAGGCATTTCATTTCACCCTAACCCACACGCATTCTCCTCACTGTAAATATCGGAAGCATCAGAACCAGGGAAGTTCAGCTTCCCTTTCTCCGCTGTCCCATCCCTGGAGGTGGCCGTTCTCCCGGCCTCTCTGTTTTCTGACGTGTGTCTGTGTGTCTGTAAGTCTCTGCTACTTCTTTCTTTTTTTAGACAGAACCATCACATCTATATTGTTTTGTAACTTAACTCTTTGTCAACACATGTATTCAAAGCGTCTTTTACCCGAGTCCCTGGGGGTCTCACTGGTTCGTCGAACGGTCACACAGTAGTCTGTCCTTGGGGTCTCTCTCATTCCTGTGACTGGCCACATAGTACTCCAGGTTACGGATTCGCTGTGACTTATTTAACCCATGTGACCGGGCACTTTCTCAACAACACAGATCGTTCGAAAAAGTTAATTACCCATGGTTCCCAAGTGCTAATAAAATAAATTGAGGAAGGCTGTCAAAGGCAGAATACTAATTAGACTATGAGAAAAGAGAAAGGCACGTCTCTGGCTTTAACCTCCACATTACCCGCTGCGGTATCTGTTTTGTTTGAGGAGGTGGTCCCCCATCGCCTCGGCCCTTTATAATATTAACATTTCTGTCTAGGCTGCCAAAGACCTCAGAGTCCCAAACCCCAGCATCTCTCCACTGCCCCGAGATGGAGGGCCCAGCTGCAGATCACCCGAGTTCCAGGACCCTCCCTGCACCTGGACAAGAGCTGGTTAAACTTTGTCATGTGAGAGAGGTGCCAGAAAGCGACTCAAATTCCACACAGCCATCTCACTCAGTTTTACTCAGTAAAACCCAAACACCCATTTTTTGTTGAGACGTTGGCGAGTCCTGGGACCCGCCGAGGGCCCACTCGCTCACCCCTGCACACGTCTGAAATATGTCAGGCAGGTGTTTCCAAAGAGACCTTCTGCTCCAGGGAAATACACCCTGATGTAATCTGACTAATTTGGCTTTTGACTGACTTTCAAGAGAACTGGCTGTTCGTCATGCTTGTCATGGAAACAGTTCTCGGGGCCACTTCAGATGGGGCTTTGTAATGTGAGCTGGTAAAACCCTGCAGGTGCCCTTGCCCTGTTTTCATTTCACATCTCACAGTTGTTTACTTTAATGTATTTCTCAGGAGGAAGAAGAAGAAAAAAAAAAAAAGGAGGTGGGGATGGGCTTAACAGGTCATTTTTTTTTAAATTCTATTTTATTATTTAAAGGAGATGGGTTTCTATTAAGAAAATCAGCGGTTAGCACTGGGCTGCAGAAGTCCTGTTGGTGGGTGGAAATGCAGGCCCTAGGAGGACGTATTGCTCAGAGCAGTTCCCCCAGACACAGGCTCAGGAGCGACTTACCTGCAAGCCTTGGCAGAGACATCAAGTGGAGAGTGGCCAGCGGTGTTTTCTTTGCTAATTCTTGGCTACCGAACAGGGGTTACCCAAGCTCCCTTTCCCCCTCAAAGTTAGGCAGCTCTGAAAAAAAAAAAAACCCGTAAAATTATGAATTCAACTTTGTCTTCAATCAGAGGAGAGGAAATGGTTCCTGAGATGCAAAGGTCGTGTGAGAGGTGGGAAGGGCTGCCCCACACACATTCCCATGTGTTTACAGAACACCAAAAGCCAGCTCGTGAACAGGAAGGGGATGGGGCTTTGGGTGGGGAAGGGAAGGTGGCTGCTGCGGGCCTAGTTGGGGGTAGGGCTCTATGAGAATGAAGAGGAGGCTGCTTTAGGCTGCGGTGTTTGCAGAGTTAGCCCTGCGACCTGTGTTCAATCTCCAGAACCAAAGTAAAGGTGGAGGGAGAAACCACTCCACAAAGTCACCCTCTGACACGGGTACATGCCAAAACATACACTAGTAGTAATAGTAATAGCAGCAGTGATGATGATGATGATGATGATGATGATGATGATGATGATGATAATGATGACGACGATATCTTTTTTAAGTTACAAAGAGAGGGAGGGAAATGAAATGTGGGGCCTGGTTGTAGCTCTAGGATTACTTCTTGTTCGTTGATGCCATAAGTTGCCATCATCAGTGTAAAATACGTTATGTGTTTGTTATCGTGGGCTTGCTTGCCTGTGTCCTGGGAATTGGTTCCGGTAAACCCAGGTCCCAATTTCCTGTCCTTTGTAAGGAATTCCTTGTTCTGGTCCCCCCAGGTCCTGGATGGCTGTTTTTATGCTTTCTCTTCTCTCCGTCCTCATGTTCTCACGGGCTGACCTGGGTCTCTGCCTGTGAGGGAAGCTTGGCATCTCTACCAGTTCCCACACACACACAAAAAAGTCTGTCCCCAATATGTCATGATTTTAGGGACGTTATTGATGATTGGTGAGGTCATAAGAAGCAGCTGCATTCCAGACCGCAGAGCCTTCGGCCATCTGGGTCTCTCTGGGTTCCTTTTCTCTCTCAGACAAATAAAAGGTTTTCTCTGCTTCCTTTCAGATTCCTTTCCTGCCAAGACCTGGTATCTGTGGTATCCTCCTACAGCTCAAACGAAGGTGTAATAGTAAACTGTTTAACTCATATGCAAATGGCTCCACAGAGCATTTAAAACCTTGCTACACACGCCTGAGATGTGATTTCAGTGACAACTGTCACTGAAAAAGGTGAGTCCATTCCGGGCACCCGTGTGCACTGTCCCGGTCAGGAGCTAGACGTCTGGAGGGTACGTTAGACGGAAGGATGTAATATCAGCAGTAGCTCCAAGAGGTTTGGATGGCCTCTAGTATCTCAGTGCTGATAGGAATGCTGCTTTGCTAATTTTGATTGTCAGTTTGGGTCCATGTATACAGTAGTCCCTCAGTATCCAGGAGGGGTTAGCCTCAGAATTCCTGTGGACAGCAGAACACAAGGATTTAGGAGGTGTATACTGCACATGCGTGCACACGCCTGCACACGCACAGACACCCGAGTGCGCATGTACACACATAAACACACACAGCATGTACGCACGCGTGTGTGTATGTACAAGATGCACACCTGCACACACACATAAGCACACACAGGTGCATGCATAAAAAATTTAATTTTTTGTTTTGTTTTTTGAGACAGGGTCTCTCTGTGCAGCCCTGGCTGGCCTGGAACTCACTCTGTAGACCAGGCTGGCCTCAGACCCAGAGATCCCCCTGCCTCTGCCTCCCGAGTGCTGGGATTAAAGGCGTGCGCCACCACCGCCGCCTGGTCTACTGAAGATTTTTTATACTTTAAGTCTCTAGATTATTTATGTGTAATATCTAGTACAACGTAAATGTTAGCTAATAGTTTTTAAGTATAATGTTTATTGATTCTTTGGGAGTTTTGTACAATGTATTTTGGTTATATTCAGCCCTCATTCTTGCTCTAACTTCTCCCAGATCCAGACTTTGTGACTTTAAATTAAAAAACAAAAACAAACCTACTGAGTCTAAATGTCCCAATGCCAGGTCCACGTCCTCACGGGTGTGGGAGCGCCCTGGAGCTTATCTGCCTTCTTGGAGATACACCTTTAACTAAACTTATTTTCCCTAGAAGCTACCGATGTTCCCCTGCTTCTCAGCTGGGGTGGGGCTCATGAATCCCTCCACGCTACGGGGTTGACGGACTTGGTGTTGTGTGGACAGTCACAGCTGCTGTGAGTCCACGAGTGCAGCCGCCCTGTCCTGGCCAGAAGACACGGTTTCACTCCGGTCCTGCCTCAGTCTCTGGCCCTAAGGACTTTTCCTCCAAGCCTCGCAGGGGGCAGTGAGATAGATGTCCTGTTTGTGGCCGAGCCCTCCACCGACACTTCCTCTCTGCACTTTGAGCAGCTGTGAGTCCCTGCATTACCCACTGTCCCCTGCTCAGAGAAACATCTCTGATGAGGTGTGAGAGCTGGAAAGATGCAGTTTACAGGGAGGTTTGGCGCTGAGCCCATTTACGGGAGTAGGTTTATCGCTGGCACCCAGGAGCTCCCAGCCACGGGTTCTGGGCCAGATTTACTGTCTAGGTACCTGTGTGCCACTAGTACGTATTGCACTAGTTGTTGTGTGCCACGATTGCCCCGGGAGCCTTTCCTGCTTTGCCACTCACTGTAGCTCCCGGGGTTCACAGACTGTTGATGTGCCAGCCCCCCACCCCATGGCACCTTCTGGTACTGTGGGAGCTAGCTGTGGAACGGCGGCGGGAACTTTCTGGTCAGCATCAGCTTGGTTTCTCTGTGTCCTGGGACCAAAATGTGTGATGTCTTCGAGTGTGGGTGGGTCTCACCATTGAGTCCTGGTGGGCAACCACGAGCAACGGCGATAGTCCATGTCCTTCTGGAGTCTCCCAGACACCCCTGACCAACAAGTCCGAGGAGGATATCCCAGACCTAACATTGGGCTTTCCATTTTGCAAACTATGGCTTCTGGGAGGAACAGTATCCCCTGTGTAGGGTGACTTTAATAAACTCCCTTAT